CCCGGCCAGGATCAAAGGGCTTGTAACGGTTCTATTGTTACGTAAAGTATGGTGACAAATAAACACAGACACTAAGATGCTATATATATATTAGGTCGAATATACAGAAGTACACAGGTGATACTTTGGTGTGAGTTGAGCGCACTGAGCGTCGGTACAGTATCTCGCAAGTGTCTGCTCTAGACCACACTTGAAAGTAGACTAGTTAATGTTTGCTATTCTGCTGCTTATATGCTCGGGCAACACCTCACCGTGTTGCCCGGGCAACGCCTCACCTCATTCATCTCCAAAAGGTTGACAGGAATATTAACAATGCATTTAAAGCGAGTATATTATTGGGATAATCTACTCGCTACAGAACTCCCCCTCCCAGGGGATGAAAGGAAAAATACTTGATCAAGGAACTTGATCAAGTATTTTGATCAAATACGGTGCTGGTCGGTGAATTGTACGCCCTGCTCGCGTTACATAACCATCAAAGTTAACTTCCTCCTCTTCGCTAATGTCATCTAACTGGGGTCGTAGGGTGGGAGGTCGCACAGGATCGTCCGTCGTCGTAGGATCAGGTTGTGGCGCGGCTGGTAACTGGGGTTGTAGGGTGGGAGGTCGTACAGGATCGTCCGTTGTCGTAGGTGGCGGTGCTGCTGGTAACTGTGGTCGAAAAGTGAACTGCATAGTCGGCGGATGTGTCTCTGGATTTAGCAGTGTCGCAGACGTTGAGACGAAGCCTGGAGCAGAGCAGAGAGCTGAGTGAGGCCGGAGTCGTGGAGCTCTATGTGGGAGAGCGTGGCGGCTCGATTGAGAATTGTGAGTGTCTGAACTCGGGGAGCGAGAGCGTGGCGGCTCGATGCGGTCGTAGTCTGCTGTCTGCTCTGTGTCGAAGCTGTAGCGTCTTGGGTTGATTGAGACTGTACACGCCGAGTACTACATTGTTGACTGTGGAAATTGTAGTCTGGTACCAAAAGATGTAGGCAGTGTGTGGACAAGCTCGGTGTAGCAGGAGAGAAGAATGTGCATAATTGTTGCGTCTCTGGGTCGCTGGTGGAGCATTTAGATCCGGGGCGGATGGGCTCGGGCACCATTACATTAGGAGGTAATTTAGGCACGTAGTTAGGACAACGAGGTAATCACATCTAGAGCTGAATTGTCCTGAAGGCGACGAAGTGTCGGAAACGCAAGCTGTAAGTCCTGTACTGCGCAAAGGGCTTGAGTCGGCCGAGTATCAAAATGCAGTGAACGTGTAGATGAATCTGATGACAGAGCAGCTGTCGTGGGCGTAGGACAAGCAGTGCCCTGGCAGCGACGGAGAGTCGGCAGGACAAGCTGTAGATCCAACATGATGTAATCATTGATGAGGCTGTCAGATGAGTGAGTAACGATCGTGGAGCAGCAAGCCGTAGTAGATGAAAATGCAGAGATGGACGCGATGAAAATCATAGCTGTGACGAGGGTGTTGGCAGTGTTCCATCACAGCAAACAGTAGCAGAAGAAGTCCAGTGAGAGTCCATGTTGTAGTCCATCGTGGCTGGGTATCGTCGAAACTCTCCGGGGTCACCAATGTAACGGTTCTATTGTTACATAAAGTATGGTGACAAATAAACACAGACACTAAGATACTATATATATATATTTGGTCGAATATACAGAGGTACACAGGTGATACTTTGGTGTGAGTTGAGCGCACTGAGCATCGGTACAGTATCTCGCAAGTGTCTGCTCTAGACCACACTTGAAAGTAGACTAGTTAATGTTTGCTATTCTGCTGCTTATATGCTCGGGCAACGCCTCACCTCATTCATCTCCAAAGGTTGACAGGAATATTAACAATGCATTTGGAGCGAGTATATTATTGGGATAATCTACTCGCTACACGCTCCACAAAATTGTCGCTTGGACTGTCGACTTCCTATGGCATCACCTCTCACATATTTACGTCTCATTTCGTTATGAAATTAGATTATTTCAGAGTAAAAATAGGTTTGATCATGTTCTACGTGTAGCACCAACATTATAATAAGTAAATATACCATATTTCTTCATTACTTACGTAATGCTAGGACGATTTGTGTAGTTTTGGGCCGATTTGGGTAATTCTATGGACCCGTTATTCATGCCCGTGCCACCTCTTGGGTGGCTTAAATCTTTATCAACCAATCAATCGGGGGTCAAGGTTCCCGACCAGGCCTCCTGGTTGATGGACTGGTCAACCAGGTTGTTGGATGCGGCTGCTCGCAGCCTGACGTGTGAATCACAGCCTGGTTGATAGGTATCTTTAGGAGGTGAACAAATCCTCAGGAGCCGTGATGAGGGTTAGAACCTATATACTAGGTGTTCCCAGGCACACTCTGGGAACTAGTTGACTACTCCACGACATGGTCAAAAGAATTGCAACTTGAAGCACTACTGCACCCACAAGGATCCCCAGGCTTCCAATGAAGCCGAACCCTATTTCACACAATTCCCCCATGCACTCAGGCTCTGTCGTCCAGTACAGTAGTTCTACCTCTGCAGCCCTTCCTTCAAACAAAGACCCAAAAGTGATTCCATGCACCAGCCAAACCCCCCTCTTTATGAATGAAAAAAGGTTTACACACGAGATTCAGATTCAGATTCAGATGTTTATTCAGGTAAGGTATATACATACAAGTGATGTTACATTAATGGATTGATATATAGATAGAGCTAGTACATACAATGCCTAAAGCCACTATTACGCAATGCGTTTCGGGCAACAGGACGATTCGCAACTGATTTTGTTCGAACACTTCTGGAACAAGTGCTTCACTGACGAATTTTGTTCGAACCACAACGCTGTAAATGCTTCACCCACGTACTACAAATTAAGAAGTTGGTCATTCAATTGTATGTCTCTGGTGTGCCCTCACCTGGATTATTGCATCCAAGCATGGAGACCTTATCTTCTAAAAGACATAGGACATAGCTGCTCTGGAGAAGGTGCAACATCGGGCAACAATAATCATCCCAGAGCTTAATCATTTCTCGTATCGAGAACGGCTGAGGGCCACAGGACTAACAACACTTCAAACCAGGCATGACAGGGTGGATCTCATTGAAACCTTTAAAATACTGAACAATTTGGAGGATATTGATCCGGACAATTTCTTGAAAAGGTCAGATGTAACACGAACAAGGAGCAACAGATTCAAGATCAACAAGCCATAATGTAGGACTGAAAGCAGTAGATGCTTTTTCACCCATAGGGTTGTAAACCCTTGGAACCGCGTACCAGCCGAAGCTGTAAACGCCAAAACTGCTGGAAAAGATCATCAGGGCAAATGGGGGGACTTTTGACAAGCCGCCAGCTTCCTGACCTTGTCAAGGCCACTAGTATTAGTGGCCCTCAGGTAAATTCAGGTACTATTTAAAAGGCATAATGTAACAAGACTGAACGTTAGGCACACTGCAGGAAGGTGTGGTATCCTCAGTCCCACTGTGCTGAAGATATAATGATCCATACCACTGGATACACTGGCACCCAAAATATTCTTAACTGTGTTAGACACATACCAGGACCTAGGTATATGCTAAGTCATATCAGCAGAGAAATCAGATTCTGAATCTGTACCCAGCCAGATGGGGAACAACTATCGTCAAAATCCAGATCACAGAGCCACATATTATTATTATTATTAAAATCAATTGGAGGAATGAGGGGATTTGAACCCTTGATATGGGTACTTCCAAGCCGCACACCTTAATTTTGGTTGAGGGTTCGAATCCCCTCATTGCTCCAATTGATTTTTTCAATGACATACTGTATCATATTATTATTACTGTATTATTATACACAACAAAATCATACTATTAATTCTTATTGTCAGGGACTTTAGGCAGCCCAACAATAGTTGCCCAACTCTCAGGTACCTATTTACTATTAGGTGAACAATAGCAATAGGTAAAAGGAAATGCAACCCCTTCCTCTTACAAATTATGTTGCTTTTTGCTTATATATGTACTCGGGCTAACAACCGATGTACTGTAATTCAAATTGAAATCGGCTCATGAAAGTAACGTACTGTCCTGTTTTCTGTTTTAGGTCCTCTGGCTTAGGCTGTTAGGTTAGGAGAGGAAACTTTCAATTAACAGTTTTCATGACATTTGAAACCTTAAGAGAACTTCCTGCCCTCCTAACCTACCAAAAGACTCCTAACTTGCTGTTTTGGAAAAAAAAAATCCAAAATTTAATTGGAAAATTAATTTTAATTTTGAATTACGTTGATATTTGGCTGTAGCACATACAAGTGAAAAGCAGCGTATTTTGTTAGAAGACGGGTTAAAATGTGCCCAACCATTTCAGTTTTGCCCAGGGGGACCTTTGACAAGTCACCATCTTCCTGTCCTCATCAAAGCGACTAAAAATGACGGCCCTCACATAAATGACAAGATGATGATAACATCATGACAAGGTGAAAAGGGCATATGACAAGGTGATAAGATTATTTTGACAAGTCGATAATTATTACACCACAATAATAAGGTCATCGTGATAAGGTTATTATAACAAGGTAGTAGTAGTAGTAGGCATCCATCAGTCACAGGAGACTATGGAGTTGCACTCTGGGTATCTGTCTGGAGTGGCCTCTCCAGGGTGCAAAACCAGGGGTAGGTTGAAATGGAGGAGAAGCTGCCACCCAAGCAGCAGGTTCTCCCCCCCCCCAGGTGCTGGTCATAGTATGACCAGGTGCCCAGGTCATACTTATCTTACTAACTTTTGTCATGATAATCTTACCACCTTATGTCATAACCTTACTATCATGTGTTATGATGATCTTACAAGGTAGTAAGGTCATCATAACACATGATGGTAAAGTTGTAACTTAAGGTGGAAGGGTTATCATGACACAAGGTAATAAGGTCAATATGACACAATGTGCTAAGGTTATCATGACATGAAGCAGTAATAATGCATTCGTACATAAATTCTACTTCTCAGTTAGCTCATTTTCTTCACTGTCTTAAATGGGTAAATTAAATGCAAATTCAAATAATTCATAGAAATATTTATTAAATATAGTTAGCATCAGTAGTTAACTAATTCGTTAAAGCATATATTTGAACGCTGACAATTCTTCAGTACAAGTACTGTTGCCATTCTATTCTATTCAGGACGAAAGAACAGTAGACATCCTGTACCAAATTTATGGTCCTATGGAATGGAAAAATTACTAATATTAGTTAATGGTATACAAAACCCATTTTTGTCACATTGAATGAGAAAAATATATCACAAAACTTAATCATAAAACATCATATTTTTGCAAGGATCTAAATTATACAGAAACATGTACTTGTGAAAATATATTAGGATCATTCAGTTTTTCATACTTTTATACATATAATGCACACAGACATTAAAATTATGTCTGCTGGATTTTACAAAGAACTGCATTTTCTGCCTGTTGCAAAATTCAAGTAAAACTTGCACAAATAATGGGAACTTTTTAGATTTGTGAACAGGCTCCCTTTGAGCTGAGGATTCATCAAGGTTAATCAAATGATGAATAGTATTTTAATATAGAGGGAATGTGTACTGCATTACTGCAAGCAAATGGATTCAAATCCCAGCCACAGCCAAATAAACCAGGAACTGACCACAGGACACATGCACCAGCTTGTAAGTGGAAACCAATGAACATAAAGATGGACAGATTTTAATGGCACTGAGTTTCCCACTTACATGGTGAGGAGGTATTTGTTCCCAACAGGGCCATTAGAGACCCACCCTGAGCTACAGACTGTTCCCAACATAGCCACTAGAGACTGGTAAATTGAAATGAAAATACATCATTATTTTACAAAATTCTTGACTTCATGACTGTTCCCAACAGTGCCACTAGAAACCCTTCATGAGCTACAGACTGTTCCCAACAGGGCCACTAAGAGACCCTTCATGAGCTACAGGCTGTTCCCAACAGGGCCACTAAGAGACCCTTCATGAGCTACAGACTGTTCCCAACAGTGCCACTAGAGACCCCTTCATGAGCTACAGACTGTTCCCAACAGTGCCACTAGAGACCCCTTCATGAGCTACAGACTGTTTCCAACAGGGCCTCTAGACTGGTAAATTGAAACGAAAATACATAATTTTTTACAAAATTCTTTCATACTCATTATCTATAAAATTTTGTTATCTGACTGTATGTGTCACGCTAAATTAATGGGTTAATATCCCAGTTCTTGGAATGAATGTTTAGTACAGTATTGACATTCTTGATGAAGTTGAATGCTAGAGGTGCTAATGATAATGATGAAACCAAATGTTAAAAGAACAAATTGGGTAAACATTTTGGCAATTCTGATGAATTATATGATGTTACTGAATAAATCTGAAAATTGGAGTGATATAAAAGCAGATTGGGTGCCAGTCCTCACAGCAGCTATAATGCAGTACTTGGGAACATCACACTGTATGCCTGCACAGCCTAACTATAAGCATGCATCTCTCTCACTCTTAGAAAGCTTGTTTTTCCCTGTGTCGGTGGTGCGGGTGGAGTCTGAGCAGGAATCTTCGTCTCCCTCACCATATAGGTGGATGGATTTATGAACTGACAACAGAATTAGTTCAGTCAGCAAGCAGCCTGCCATTAAACCTGGAAATCACAACACACTGTTAGAAAATACATTAGTCATAAAGTTGTGTCTGAAAAGATTATCAGTTAAACTGTGACTTTAAGTGATAATCTTCCAACTTTATGCAGAAAAAAAACCACATGATTTACTGTAAAATCACTTGTCTCTGGATATATCACCTACTGTATTTTCAGTGGTGTATAGATAATTTTTTTTTTTTTTTTTTTTTTTTTTTTTTGAGATATATACAAGAGTTGTTACATTCTTGTACAGCCACTAGTACGCGTAGCATTTCGGGCAAGTCCTTAATCCTACGGTCCCTGGAATACGATCCCCTGCCGCGAAGAATCGTTTTTTCATCCAAGTACACATTTTACTGTTGCGTTAAACAGAGGCTACAGTTAAGGATTTGCGCCCAGTAAATCCTCCCCGGCCAGGATACGAACCCATGACATAGCGCTCGCGGAACGCCAGGCGAGTGTCTTACCACTACACCACGGAGACTGGTATAATACCACTAATAATAATAATAATAATAGCATGAATGTTCCCCAAGCCATAATCATTAAGAATTCTATTACCTGACCAGGGTTTGAGCCTGCATTACCAGAGCTTACCTAAGGGATACACAGTACTAATGCCACTTCACCAGTGATTGCCTAAAAGGATTTGTTAGTCCTGGAGCTCATTACATGAGCTCTATGACTAACAAATCATATATATACAATATATTGTAATGATTGGTATATAAAGTTTAGCTTTTGTTGTTATTAATGAATGTTTCTCTTAGTTTCTCTTGTACAAGAATGTAACAACTCTTGTATATATCTCAAAAAAAAAAAAAAAGTTAAAATATTTGTTAATTTTTGTTTCATTTTGTAAGTGTTTCAAGTACCTGTATATTAAATTGAACTTTAGTACAGTAAATGTTTATTTGTTGAGTCATGGAGTGTGTGTAAAGTTTTACCGAGTGTTTTCGTGAGGGTAGCATTTCTGCAGCCCATGAGGAGAGAGCAGGGCACCCACATACAGAGGGTGTGGTGAATGCTCATGAGGTGCCCACCTCATTGTGTGAAGGTACTGTATTTACCCTGGTTTTCTGTAATTACCTAAGTGTAGTTACAGGATGAGAGCTACGTTCTTGGTGTCCCATCTTCCTAGCACTCTTTGTCATATAACACTTTGAAATTACAGTACTGATGGTTTTGACCACCACCTTCTCACCTAACTTGTGCCAACCTTCTATCACTCTGTTTACAAAAGTGAATTTTCTTAAATTCCTTCAGCAGGTTTGTTTAGTTCAAATCTATGACCTCTTGTTCTTGAAGTTCCAGGTCTCAGGAATTCTTCCTTATCAATTTTATTGATTCCCGTTACTATTTTGTATGTAGTGATCATATTGCCTCTTTTTCTTCAATCTGACTGCTTCATTTATGTTCTGCTTCATTTAAGAGTCCTGGTAGTATAGTACAGTCAGGTTTGTTCTTGACGCACAATCGAGAATTTCGAGTTTGAATCCCGGGCGGGACAGAAATGGCTGGGCACATTTCCTTTCACCTAATGCCTCTGTTTACCTAGCAGTAAGTAGGTACTCAGGAGTTAGTCAGCTTGCTGTGTGGTTGCATCTTGGGTGGGGTCATTAATTCGGCTTGGGGAAGGGGGGGGGGCCAGGGGGACCTCGATAAAAGCCAAAATCGACTTGAGAATGGTCCTGGACGGACTGAAACGTCGTCATCCCTTCACTTTCTAGTGTGTGGTCTGGTCAACAAAAGCCAAAACATGTATGAATACACTCTGGCTTTCTGTCCCCTGACACAATGAATTACTGTATTTTATTATTGAATTATTTGTATGCCTAGTTTACAATCATCTTTGCTTTCTGCATTTCCCAACTGACCTGCAGGAATCCCATGGAGAATATGCCGGTAGGTGTCAAGGTCATAAAGCCAACAGAAGCCTTTCTTTCCACACGTCTGCTCCCACAGGCGGCATGAGTAATCTGTGGGGTATGATACATCTTGGATAGGTGACTCCTATAGGTCTATTTATACAGTAGAGGAAGGCATTAATCACAGCACTATTCAGTAACCAAATCAATGTGTCCAAAAATCCTTTTACCTATGGCCCAGCCAAAGATTATAGGTGCTGGTATGGAAGCAAAGAGGGCCAAGGCTGCATTGAATACTCCCAAACCCAGGTCCTTATCACGCTCCTCAACACATCTGCATGTACACAAAGACAAAAGTTACTACTGGTATACAGATAAATGTCAAATATATATGTACCTGTGCAGGCGATGAGTCACAATAACGTGGCTGAAGTAGTTTGACCAGACCACACACTAGAAGGTGAAGGGACGACGACGTTTCGGTCTGTCCTGGACCATTCTCAAGTCAAGACAATCGACTTGAGAATGGTCCAGGACGGACCGAAACGTCGTTGTCCCTTCACCTTCTAGTGTGTGGTCTAGTCAAATATATGTACCTGAATTCACCTGAGGACCACCATCTCTAGTGGCCTAACCAGGGACAGGAAGCTGACAGCTTGTGAAAGGTTCCCTATTATTTCTGACAATTTCTGGGGGGAAGCGGGGGAATCCGGGGTGAGCCCCTTGTGGGCCCACTAAAACAATCTTGCTGAGATGGCTTCACCTATCTCACTGATTGCATGAGCCATGGAGTTCTGTTTGATCTACTGGGGACTAGAGGCAAAAACTGACCTCTTCAGAGAGACAAAAGGAGCAGCTGCCACTCACCTCACTGGGGGTAAGGCATCCAGAAAGTCAGCAAACCAATAAAGACCACTGCTGACTTTAAAGAAACTGAAGTCACAACCTGCTGAATGAACTCCACCAACAATGTAAACAAACTATGGAATCTCGAAACAAGCACGCACTTGTATTCCCCTCTTTGTATGAGTTTGATCCGAGTTTTCTTTTTGGGGAAATTCTTTTGCTCTTTCAAGACATACGTAGCAATTTTCACAAGACTTGTTTGTTTTGTTTCGCCTATCTTTCTGGGTGCCTTCCCCTGGTCGATGGCAAAATATGACATAATTTAAATGTAAAGTGCTCATAGGCCATTGCTCCTTGTGCCGGTCTGAAGGGGCCAGGTTCTGGCTCATGGTCCCCGGTAGGCAAAGGACTCCTGTGACTGATGACCCTGTTACCTATCGTACGTTAAGGCTCGTGATCCTACAGCAGCCAACTTTAATAAGTCTAGGGATACGACACCACTGCTGTTCTCAATAGCGAATCACCAGTATAACCCCTTGACAGGTACTGAGCATAAAATAGAATCTTCAAAGGACTGAAGAATAAAGACTAAGATACATATATAATATTATATTAAATAAATCTCAAAAGCAAACAGATGATTATATGGTCACAATATATATCACATTAAAAAAATTCACTGTAACTTCCAGACATTAAATCAATACTAAGAATAATTATATGGCTAGAATAAAAGAATGACTTAACTCCAACAAGTGTTATCTCCCCGGTTTCTGCTCAGCTACTAAACAAGATCACGCGAGAATCAAAACAGATTGCCTCGCCCCGCGAATAAATTGCCAAAGTTACAATTATTAATATTTCAACAATGGAGCACTACATTGTGACAAGAGTAATCTTAAACTAACTTAAGGAATAATTAGTACATTTTGATATACACAAACAAAAGGTAATAGTTCTTTACATAGTAATTAAAATATGCATACAGAATAGCATAATGGCATGCACACCCCAGCAACGGACGATCCCACGACAATTTGCCAGATACAGTTCACTCAATTATTATTTCACTGTTACCCACTTATGATCACATATAAATTATTAGTTCCCGTGGGAAAACTGATCACACAAAGAAATAAACAATCATTCCCACGATACGCTGGGCCTAACGCCAACACTGTAACATGAATGTGCATTTGTATAGAACATAAGTATAATAATATACATGCTTGTAATTTACATACAATTATAAATGTACATATTAATATATTCACTTACGTATCTTATAAGGGTACGTAACACTTCCACCTCCAAGAAAAAAAATGCAATGGATTGAAGATCAATGGCATTTTTTCAGAAGTAAAAATGTTAGGTAAAAAGAAACATTTCATTTATGGTACATCAAAACTTCTTGACAAAGCATCAGCAATAACATTTTGTCTGCCTGGAATATGTTTGATTTCTACATTAAATTCCTGCAAAAACAATGACCAGCGCAGAATTCGTTGGTTCTTGACTTTCATCATATTTATAAAGATAAGGGGGTTGTGGTCTGTAAATACTAACACTTTATTTCCTGATAAGTAAATCTCAAACTTCTTGATTGACAATATAAGACCCAACGCCTCCTTTTCTACCACGGAATAATTTCTCTGAGCTGCATTAAATTTTCTGGAATAGTAATACACAGGATGCTCAATCTGGTCTAAACCAACTTGAATAAGCACAGCACCTATCCCAACATCTGACGCATCAATGTGTAATATAAATGGTTTATCAAATTGGGGACTAGCAAGAATAGGTGAGGTGGACAATATGCCCTTTAGGTTCTGAAAAGCATTCTGACAATCTTGTGTCCACTGAAACTTTACTTGCTTGCGTAACAAGTTTGTCAAAGGAGCAGCTACTGTTGAAAAATTCCTACAATAACGCCTATAGTATGCACACATACCAATAAACCGTTGGACTCCTTTCTTATTGGTCAACACTGGGTAGTCCACAATGGCTTGAATCTTATCTTGTAAGGGGATAATCTTACCTTGGCCTACCTCGTGGCCAAGATAAGTTATCGTACCTTTTGCCCAACTACACTTATTCATATTTATGGTTAACTTTGCGTTTTCTAACACTGTAAACAAGTTCTTAAGGCCTAAGAGATGATCGGCCCAATTCTTACTGTACAAAACAATGTCATCAAGGTAGGCCCTACAATCTGGCACATCCTTGAGTAAGAAATTCATAAGTCTTTGAAAAGTAGCAGGTGCATTTCTCAAACCGAATGGCATGACATTAAATTCATACGCACCATCAGGTGTAACAAAAGCAGTAACCTCTCTAGCATACTCTGTTAATGGAATTTGATAATACCCTTTTGACAAATCAAGCTTACTTACATATTCGGCATGACCTATGGACTCTATACATTCTTCCAACAAGGGTAAAGGAAAAACGTCCACTGTAGTGTTCTTGTTCAGTTTCCTGTAATCCACGCACAATCTCCAGGTTCCATCCGGTTTTGGCACTAACAAACACGGAGAGCTCCAAGTACTTTGACTTGGCCGAATGAAATCATGCTGGAGCAGATATTCCACTTCTGCTTGCATAATTTTCCTCTTTTCGGGATTCACTCGGTACGGATGTTGTCGAATGGGGGTGCTGTCCAGGAGCTGAATGTCGTGTGTGATGAGGTGGGTCTGGGTAGGAACCTCCCCAAACAGAGATGGATGGTTGTCCAGCAGAACCTGGAACTCATCACGTTGTTCCTCCTGTAAATGACATAGCATCTCCCTGCCATTGGAACTGGAACTGAGAAGTGGGATATTAACAACATGTCCCTCACTACAATTATCCTCAGGTGGTAACTCTTCCCGACTAAAACAAGCTACTACACCAGGTCCAACATAAGCTTTTAATCTGTTAATGTGTACAGTCATTTGGGGTTCTGAAAGATTAGGGTTAATTAGTTTATAAGTTAGGTCTCCCACCTTGTCTACCACTTGGTAGGGTCCTGCGAACTTATGGGACATGGAAGTCCCCATACGAGGTTTCAACACCAACACCAAATCTCCGACATCAAACGACCTTGGCTTAGCCTTGAACTTCTTGTCATATCGTACTTTCATGGCTTGTTGAGTCCTTCCCAGATGTTCTTTCGCCAACTCACGAGCCCGACACAACTTAGCCTTGACCTCGCTCAAGTACAATCCGCTCTGATGAACAGAGACATCTCCCAACAACTTTTCTTGTAGCATTTTAAGAGGACCTCTTACTTGGTGACCAAACACTAGTTCAAAGGGTGAACAGCCCAATGACTCTTGTAGCCCTTCTCTAGCAGCAAACAACACAAAGGGGAGATTCTCATCCCAATTACGTGGATGAGTTTCTCCGGTTGTCTTTAGCATTTGTTTCAAAGTCTGGTGGAAACGTTCAAGTCCACCTTGGCTTTGTGGATGATATGGACTGGACAATTTGTGCCGAATCCCTCGGGATTCGCAAAAAGTTCTGAAAACTTTAGAAACAAAATTTCCCCCATTATCACTCTGAATAACTCTAGGCATTCCAAACAACGAAAAGAATCTTTCAAGACACTTGATGAGATTATGAGCCTTGGTATTCCGTAGAGCATAAGCTTCAGGAAATCTAGTAGTCATACACATGAGAGTGAACAAAAACATGTTACCCGATTTAGTCTTAGGTAAAGGACCCACACAATCAATTACAACATGAGTAAATGGTTCATCAGGAACTACAATAGGTTGCAATGGTGCTCTAGGTACAGATTGATTTGGTTTACCAACAATTTGACAGGGTATACAGTTATGACAATATCTGACCACGTCTTTCTTTAACTTTGGCCAGAAAAAATATTTACTTATCTTATGGTACATATTCGTGATACCTTGATGACCTCCCATGGGATCATCATGTGCAGCCTGCAGGACCTGCCTACGATAATCATTGGGAACAACGAGTTGGGTTCTAATCTCACAATCCTCTGAAGAGGGAGTTCCCTTGGGTCTCCACCTTCTCATCAGAAGTCGATCCTTGAAGAAGAAACCCGTCCCTTCCTCCAATGCATCAATATTATCAGGAGCCTCAGAAATACACTTACTTAAACTAGGATCAGTAGTCTGTACAACACTTAAGGGCAATGACTCAGACTCAGCAGCGAGCGGGCAAGAACCTAGTAGCTTGATCTCTTTTCCCGATTGATCAGAATAAAATGGAGTCATAGCTACTTCGGCCTCACTCTCGACAACTGGCGCACTGGAGACAAGCGGGCAAGGTACAGATAGTTCAGCCTCCTCACCTTCACTTTCCTTGTGATTTAGGTTCGGCGGGGCTTCTACTACGGCCTCACTCTCATCATCCAGTCGAGTCATAAAAGAATCCTCAAGATCCACCTCCCACTCCTTTACTGAAGGGGTCCTGGTCTTGGGATCAGCAACCTTAGTGAAGACAGGATTACTCTCACCTGTTTTTCCCATTGATCTAGTAACAACACAAGCAGGGTAAATAATATCATCATCTGCTTCCGGTTGAGCTAATACATTATGGGGTTTAGTTAACATGATGGGACACTTGGGCCCTACAACCATTTGGTTGCCAAAATCATTACCTAGAATAATGTCTACCCCAGGAATGGGCAGTTGTTTACTTACACCAACATTACACCATCCTGAAGTATATTTAGATTCAAGGTTAACTTGCAATAAGGACACTGGTTGCACACTTCCGGCAATACCCTGGAGAAGCACAACTTCACCCAGATCTCGGGTGTCAACATCATCAAGTACCTTCTGGGTAATAAGAGACTGTGAAGCTCCAGTATCACGGAGTAATTGAACAGTCTTATGTCTACCATTAGTACATAATAAGGTACCTGTGGACATATAGGGTTTGAATTCAGCCATCCAATTGGGACTGACTGTAATACATGAAGAATTAATAGGTTGCACTCCTTTACTCATAATAAGACCAGTTGGTCGGAGTTCAGGATGCAAACTAAAACATGAAGAAATCACATGCCCCCTTCTCTTACAATGGGTACAATGTTTGACAGTGGACACACTGGTATAACCAACTGCCGGTTTAGAATTAGCATTACTAGGCTTAGATGATCCTGGCAATGGAGTAACCATCTTAGGGTTAGTAAGAGAAGAGTTCACGGGAGTAACTGTCGCACCAGGAGGAGACTTATACTGATAAGGAGTACGGTGAGCATTGAAATTTACTCTACGACTAGACTTAGGTGAAGTGGCCGTAAACGGGGCCTTAGTCAGCAACTCATGCTCATCCGCGAGCTTTGACAGCTCATCAATATCGGTTACATTCTTTTGTTCCGCCATAAAAGTAGACAACTGGTCTGGAAGACAGGACAATACTTCTTCCATTATGAGAAGATTCTTTAGAGCATCAAAATCAGTGACTGCAAGTGACTTTAACCATCTGTTGCAAAAATTCGTCTTCTGACGAGTAAAATCTGCTATTGTCTGATCCTTGATTCTCCTTAGGTTCCTGAACTTTTGCCTGTGTGCCTCTGGATTTAGTTGGTATGCATTGAGGATGCTTTTCTTTACAAAGTCATAATCAAAACTATGAGCGTCAGGGAGGGATGTGAAAACCTCCTGACTACGCCCCTTGAATTGAGACTGCATAATGGCTACCCACTGATCCCTTGGCCAGTTCATACTGATGGCAATTTTATTAAAATGTGCAAAGAAAACCTCAGGATCTTCCTCATTTAACTTGGGCAACTCTATATACTTATTCATCCTGATGGGATTATTATCACTATTTGTTGAAACATTACTAGTATTTCCATGCCCAGCTGCCATACGCTGTGATTCAAGCCTGAAGTTAGTGTTAGCCATTTGTTGTTGAATCTCTAATTGCCTAGTTTGTTCCTCGGCTTGTTGCTTCTTTGTGGCTTCAAGTTGCAACTCAATTAAACCTCTCTGGTTTTGTGCCGCAATTTCTAAACGCCTAGTCTCCAGCTCCCTTTGCTGAGCTTCAGCTTCTAATATTTGCTGTTGCTGTTGAGCTTCAATCTCTCTTTGACGAGCTTCAGCCTCTAATATTTTCTGTTCTTTTTGAGCTTCAAGCTCTAATTGGCGAGCTTCTAACTCAAGACGCTTTAACGTCATCTGATCACTCGACTCCTCTCTTAACTCCTCTAGAATTTCGTCATCTAACTCCCCATTCTCAACAAAATGCGTCACAATGACTTTCAATATTTGGGCTTTAACCATTCTATTGCTGGCGGTCAAATCCAAATGATTTGCCATTTGTATTAACTCAGTCTTTTTAAGGTTCTGAATCCCTTCAAAGTCTGGGTGAGCCACCAACGCTGCAACTTTCTCCTCCATCGTTACTAACACTTGGCACTTGATTCACAAAAATAATTAACACAATGGCACTGCACTACACTTCACTGTAAAATTGTCACCACACTGAAATTTCGCTTGGCCTCACTGCACAAACAAAATATATAGGATGACTTACCTCAAAATCGTGAAACGTTGTTACTTGACACACAGGAAGGCTTGCTTGGCACATGGAATAGTTCTTAAGAAACACACAGAGACACTTGACACACTGGTACCTAGGAAGGCAAGGTTAGATTAGCATAGTTAAGTTAAAAATGGGACAATATTTCCCGGCACAGGCCCCCATAACTCTTTGTTACCTATCGTACGTTAAGGCTCGTGATCCTACAGCAGCCAACTTTAATAAGTCTAGGGATACGACACCACTGCTGTTCTCAATAGCGAATCACCAGTATAACCCCTTGACAGGTACTGAGCATAAAATAGAATCTTCAAAGGACTGAAGAATAAAGACTAAGATACATATATAATATTATATTAAATAAATCTCAAAAGCAAACAGATGATTATATGGTCACAATATATATCACATTAAAAAAATTCACTGTAACTTCCAGACATTAAATCAATACTAAGAATAATTATATGGCTAGAATAAAAGAATGACTTAACTCCAACAAGTGTTATCTCCCCGGTTTCTGCTCAGCTACTAAACAAGATCACGCGAGAATCAAAACAGATTGCCTCGCCCCGCGAATAAATTGCCAAAGTTACAATTATTAATATTTCAACAATGGAGCACTACATTGTGACAAGAGTAATCTTAAACTAACTTAAGGAATAATTAGTACATTTTGATATACACAAACAAAAGGTAATAGTTCTTTACATAGTAATTAAAATATGCATACAGAATAGCATAATGGCATGCACACCCCAGCAACGGACGATCCCACGACAATTTGCCAGATACAGTTCACTCAATTATTATTTCACTGTTACCCACTTATGATCACATATAAATTATTAGTTCCCGTGGGAAAACTGATCACACAAAGAAATAAACAATCATTCCCACGATACGCTGGGCCTAACGCCAACACTGTAACATGAATGTGCATTTGTATAGAACATAAGTATAATAATATACATGCTTGTAATTTACATACAATTATAAATGTACATATTAATATATTCACTTACGTATCTTATAAGGGTACGTAACAGACCCCAAACTAATAAAGCACTATATCAGTTCGGATAGCTTCAGGAAGCCTCCGGGCTCACCCAGAAAATGGCATTTCATTACATTCAATGCTGGCTTTTTACTAACTTTGTTATCTATCTAGCTCCTTTTCATTCCCTTCTTTTTTGGGGCCACAGTTTTGAATGAGTTCAGTGATGACCATGAAATTTTCCCATGATGCTTTCATGCTATGGTCACCTACATTTGTAGTCAATCTTATAATATGGTGATCATACGATGGTGGTGAGCTTTTACCCTACCTGAATTTGACTAATCATGCCTTTGGAATTTTCAATCATTTGTTTACATTTGGGGGAATTCTTGTAGCAATTCTGAAGTCTTTATATTTTTTATAACCAGCACCAATCTGTTTTGTTTTGCTTAGGTTGTGTGGGCTTCCCTGGTGGTGGTGGTGGACGTGATTAAAATTCACTGACAATTTTATCATAGTTTCACTGCTCTCTGTGCCTCATTAGGAGGGGGGGGCAGGCTCTGGTTCATGGTCCCAAGTAGGCCTAAAACAACTCTGTGACTGATGGCACCTGGTAGTTTGGCACTGTTCCATCACTGTAGCTTCAGGAATCCACTGTGGCTCACCCAGAAATTGATATTTCATTATATTCATTGCTGTTTTTTGTATGAATTCCCCTGAAATCATCAAAATGAAAAAGAAATGGTCTAATATGGCAAATGTTCAATTCTACACTTAAAATGTTTTTGAAACACTTGTGTGATTTATGGCCTTGTAGTGTCCGGCAAGTCACTGAACAGACCTTACAGCATGAAAGAGATGTGGTAGATATGGAACTTGCCTGAAAAGTATGATGTTTACAGGAACTCTGCTGGCAGCATTAGTCATCTTGGTTAAGACAGTGAGTGCAAGATACATGTAGAATGTGGGACATTCATGGCTGCAGTAGCCATCCACAGCTATAGCTGGAGCCTTTCTTGCTTCTGTGGGCATGTCAGGAAGGCCTGTGGAGACACCAAATGGTGCCCTCGTTGACATGATGCTCTGGGACATTCAGTTATTTTGGTTAGTTGTTATTTATTTAGGTAATTGTAAGAATAGATGGTTGTTTCGCTGTATAAAAATAGTGATTTTTCCTGGGGGGAGCACCTTGTGGCTCCTTGAAGCTATCTCAGTGAGTTGGCTCCCAACTACTAGGTCACATCAGCTGTTGAGTTCTGCTTGGCCTATCAGTAACCAGAGCCAGAACCTGGCCCCTCCTCACAGAGATGCAGAGAGCAGGTGACACTTCCCCACATAAGAACATAAGAATAAAGGTAACTGCAGGAGGCCTATTGGCCCATACGAGATAGCTCCTTTCTACCCAAAAGGAAAGCATCCACAAAGTTATTGAACCAGTGCTTTGTTCAAAGAGACTGAAGCCTCAAGACTGCCAAATGAACTCTCCCAAGCAATAGCACTAACCCCCTTCCCCATCAGTTTGGGGAGCCCTGGAACTTCCGGTTCCTTCAGTCCTCCAAGCCAGTTCTGTTGCCGATGCGGACACATTTGGATGTCTACTGTAGGGTTTTCAGGTCGTCTACAAGCAGCATGGTGAGGTTTTTGGAGTCAGAGCAGGGTTTAGCTTGGGATTCAGCTCAATCTTCTCTGGGGGTTGGCCACTTTCATTTCAGGCATGGAGGCAGTTGAGCCATGTAGTCCTGCCAAGGTTTCAGGGGTTTTACTTTTCCAACTAACCCATTCTTCCAAAACCTCTCCTCCAGACCCCACTTTTCTATCCTAGGCAGTGGATGTGAACTTCAGATCTGCCTCAGAGCCTGTGTTTGGCTTTTGGGGCTTGGGGGGTATCCAATAGGGATCCTTGAGTTTCATTGGACCCTACTCAGTCCCTCATTTCTTCCGATGAGTGCCTTTTACTGCAAGGGGGTTTCTTAATCCTCCTCCTTATATGATATTGATTTTTATTCAGCTCCCCCAAGTGTTCGTTCCATGTACCATGTGGTTCATCTGATTCATCCCTCCAGGTGTTCCCTTCCTCTCTCTGGTGGCTTGGATGGTTCTCTTTAAATACCTCCTGTGTGACCCAGAGTTTGCCACGTTGATGGACCCTGCCACTTTTGAGTTTGGATCTTCCTTGCCATAGTGGCTGCACCCTGAGGTTCTGGAATATTCTTAGCTAGCACACAATCCCCTCTTTTTTTTTCCTTGGGGCTTAGTGCAGCTTCTGTTGTTACTGCATGCTTGTGTGGCTTGTTTTGAACGTGTCTCAAGTATTTTTCCCAATTCCTTTCTAGGGTTGCTCAATGACTGCTTGTTTGCTCCCACTCTTTCTCATGATACAGGGGTTGGTGCAGCTACATGCCTGGAATGCCTTTGATGTCTGCAACCCATGTGGCAAATGACTTGCAAGCTTGCATGCACTTAATTACGGTCATCTGCTTTCTATCCCTCATGGTGATGTATTCTGGCAGGCTCTATGAGGATGTTGATTTGCTCAGCCCATAGTCAGGTGTGGGCTCCTTGTTGTCCACCATGGTGACTTCAGTGGTCTTGCCTTAGTTGTATGACTCCGTGCTCTGGGAATTGGTTGCTGCATTCTACTCAGGCAGTCTCACATGTTGGCAGGCTGTACTGGCCCAGTGGTTCAATTCAGCTTAGACCTTCTGTCCACACCTGCCTTTTCACAGGTGGGGCCAGGGCTTTGCCTGCTGTTGGTCAGGGTAGGCCCTCGTTGGAGCCGGTTACTGAGTCGCACGCATTTCACGTGGTCAGTTCCTCTTCTGGTCAATGTCGTTGTTTTCATCCCATGAGGGTGGACACATGCCTGTTTGTGGTTCACACCAATCCTTTCACAATTCACATCTTTAACAGGGAAAGGGGGGGGGGGACCCACCTGGGGCATACACCCATATGGAGTATGGCCCATACTGAGCAGCTCCAGGGTCCATACTTCAGGGAGGAGGGGGAAGTATGGACCCTGACACTGCTTACAGCTTCAGGGTCCTTCTGTTTGGCTTAAATTTGGCTTTCCATGGTTTCCTAGATTGATTTGTTTTGTGGTGGCTCATCTTCGCTTACTGAGGGTTCATGTTCTGGCCTACCTCAACGATTAGCTGGTTTGTACCCCCTATCAGTCCATATGCCTGCTTGCCTAGTAGGGATCTGGCTCTTTTTTTAGTTTCCTGGATTCAAGTTCCTGGTGAACTGGAGGAAGTCCCAGTTGGTTCTGTCCCAGCATCAGACTTAGCTGGACCTCATGTGGGACTCTCAGCATCTCTTTCCCTTCCTCCAGCAGCTTTGCTCTACCTACTGCACCGCTGTCTTCTGATGTTAAGGTGGCCCTGAGTGACTCGGCATTTGTTCAAGCAGTTGTGTGGGAGTCTAAACTTTGCCTGCATGGTATTCCTCCTGGACATGGTGTGGCCTTGGAGGTTGTTCTGGTTTCTCCAGTTCTACCCTTTTCATCATTGCTGCAATCATTGGGTTCAGGCCCCGATTGTTCTGGAAATCTGTCAGGAATGGTGCAAAGGAAGTCCCACTCAGGAACACCTGAAAGATGGAGCTCACCTTCTGCTAGTCAAGTGTGAGGTTCTGACAAAACCCCTGCCAAGCTCCCATAAAAAAGAGAAGGTTGTCAGCCAGTTAGGACAAACCCAAGACTTCATACTGCAACCAATAAGCAGAGTATCTGTACTCGAAAGAGGCTGGGTCCTTGGAAAAAGAGGTCAGCACTCTGCAGGAAGTACTGAAGCAAATATATGTAAATCACAGAAGGCACAGCATGGGAGGATGGAATCTCCAGATAAAGGACAAATCCGAGATGTCTAACAGGATCTGGAACTAAACCTAGGGAGCTGAGTGATCCAGCTCATATACAGAGGGAGGATACAAAAAATTATCCCCCTGCAGAGGGATAAATGAACCACAGATGCCTGAAAGGTATCCAAGAGCACTCCTTGGGCTTTCCCTCAACCCCAAAAGCCTGCCATGAAGGTCCTGGGGCAGAGTTTAAGTCCTCACACAACACCTGAGAGAGAGAGGAAGGTGTCCTAAGGAAAAGGCTCGGGACAGGGTGCTGGTTGTGAAAGTGTGCCCTGAAATCCCAGCAGGATCAAAAGGTTCAACTGCCTCTACTGTTGACATGGAAGGGAGCACCCTTTGGAGAAGGCCGAGCTACACCTTGAGCAAAACCCTGACCTGACACTGAAATTCTCCCACGCTTCTGAGCTGGAATCAGGTAGGAAAGGCCAGAAGCAAGGTGAACCACACCCACAAGGAAAAGGAAGAGGAGATGCAGATTTATTCCAGGTAGTCACTAAGACTTCCAATTCCAGCGCAGTAAACACCATGTAAACACCCATCAATATGTCACGAATGCGTAACACGAGCACTGAACTCACAAAGTGGCCTGAAACAGCCTCCAACTAGGAGATAGATTCTGTCAATGCAGAGACCCAGTGAGAAGACACCTCACGCACTCAGGGGTCATAGGTGTCACCAATTCGACAATCAGCATGGTAGGGAAGAAAGAATGATCATCGTCAACCACCAAAGACGATGAACACCCTCAACTCTCACTCAGTGAAAGCAACCAGCAGGGGGTCTCCAGGGTCTGAAGGATGTTAACCAGCAGACATTATGGCCACTTGCTGGGAGAACAAACATCAACCGCAGCTAAACTTGAAGATCCTTGAATAGCCCAAGGCAAGGCTTCCGAACCCAGTTGTCAGGCCTCTCGGGTGAACTCCTGAACACAACACAGAGGATCTCTGACCGTGTAAGGCCAGCATTAGTTGGCACACAGTGAAGAAAACCCTGAGTGCATACAGCTCAAAATCAATTCCAAAGATGGAATTTGATCAATTGATCAACAATCAATTCCAAAGATGGCTGGCACTTAGCTTGAAGCAATGGGGCTTGCCAGCAGTTTAATGGATCGGAGGCACTACTAGCAGTACCAGTCTGTAGGCATCAGCAACAGAACTGAGGTAGGGAGTCTATTGAGGGCTGGGGCCCAGGCTGCTTGGTGGCAGTAATTACTTAAGTGCAGTTACAGGATAAGAGCTATGCTCGTGGTGTCCTGTTTTCCCAGTACTCTGTGTCGTATAATGCTTTGAAACTACTGACAGTTTTGTCCTCCACCACCTTCTCACTTAGTTGTTCCGTCTACCACTCTCTTTGCAAAAGAAAATTTTTAAATTTTTTTTAGCACCTTTTTCATGGGTGTTTGACAGCTGAGTGGACAGCGCTTCGGATTCGTAGTCCTAAGGTTTCGGGTTCGATCCCCGGTGGAGGCGGAGACAAATGGGCAAAATGTTTCTTTCACCCTGATGCCCCTGTTACCTAGCAGTAAATAGATACCTGGGAGTTAGACAGCTGCTACGGGCTGCTTCCTGAGGGTGTGCAACAAAAAGGAGGTCTGGTCGAGGACCGGGCCGCGGAGACGCTAAGCCCCGAAATCATCTCATGATGACCTCAAGATAACCTTTGTTTCCTTGAGGACATCTGTGTCCTCTTGTTTGTGAAGTTGCTGCTTTCAGGAATTTCTCTTTGTCAATTTGGTCTATTCCTGTTAGTATTTTGTAAGTGGTAAATATATCACCTCTTTTTTTTCTATCTTCTAGTTTTGGCATGTTTAATGCCTCTAGTCTCTCCTCGTAACTCTTGTTTTCAATATACTGTACTGTAATCAATACTGAAGTAGTAATTAACTTGATTTCAAGTAATCAATATTAACAAGTTTTAAGCTAGTTTGAGTGGATCCCTTGTTCTGTGCGAGTTGTTTGTTGAGTTGTTTGGCAATTTTGAGGCTTTGTCTTCTGTGAACCCTCCAATTGTCTATAAAGCTTCGTTAACTTTCTGGAAGCTTTTTCCGGTGGAGTGCCAGAGTGTCATCCACTCCCTGCACCTCTGTGAGGGGAGCCAGGTTATGGCTTTGGTCTCTGGTAGGCCAAACTGAACTTTCGTGACCAATGTGACCCTTTAATATGGTGTATAGCAAGATAGAGAGCCACTGGGGTTCCTCTCCCAGAAAATATAATGTAAAATAGAAACCATTATTGAGGACTTTAGTGCAGCCACTTATGATTATTTAATTGACAGGAATATTCAGCATTGATTAAGATGTTAGACTAAGAATTACCGTATAATCCACGTCTCCTGGACAGGTGCAGTTTCCATAAACCTGGAAAAATAATATTAATATCATATCTGACATACAAATTAAGGTTTTTAAACTGGAAAACTTTGAATGTATAATCCAACCCATTCACCTTTTTACATAGTAGTTTTTGTAACTATGTGCACAATAGTACAAAGATTGGTGTTCTTAGCAATTAGATAGTAGAACTTTGTACTATTCCCTTTATAGAGTTGAAAAAAATGAAGCTAAAAACATACTTAAATATTCCAAGGCCTAGTATAGCATACATATGTACTATATTAGGCCTCAGATATCGTGTATTAGGCCTAGGAAGGTTAGGTTAGCTTAGTTTAGTTTGTCTTAGCAACATAAGTAGAAAATAGTGTTCTGATTTGTCCAACTCAATAGTGCCGATTTCTACTTACTAATTTTGTTGTACGTCGGTATACTATATATACTATGATCCTCATTGTTGCTATAAGTACTACCAAAACAGGAGGATTGGCTGATAAAGTCATATATAGAAATAAGAAATGTGTAGGAGGTTACATGAATTACACAACACAAATGTACATGCTGCTTCTTGCTCATGAAGGAATACAGTATGAAGTACATGATAATGGACTTTTTAAACAATGGAATGTTTAAAACCTGACAGCAGAACCAGTAATGAAATAATGTGAAGAATATGAAAGCAGAGACAATAATGAAGGAAATGTGAAAATGACAGAATCACTAATGAAGGAATGTGAAGAATATGACAAAAAAGCTATTAGTGAAGGAAAGTGAGGAATATGATAGCAGACATACTAATAAAGGAATGTGAAGAACATGACAGCAGAGAGACTAATGTTTTTTAAGTCATGTAGATCTTAGAATTAGACATGTACATCTCATGTTTTTTTCAGTGCCAACTTACAATAGTGCCATTGGCCTTAGCCGCTGAGGTACAACCAGCATAACAAGCATTGTAGAAATTGGTGGTACCATCGACACACACGGGTGAGAACTTGAGGGAGCACTGGCACTCAGAGGAACATGCCAGCAAGGACACATTGCTACAGAGAGGGAAGGGTTAGAGGTAGTTAAATAATAATAATGGCAGCCAAAGATTAAATTTTGTATGCAGTGACAAAATATCTGATAAAATCTTGTAAATGTTTTATAATAATAATGATACCATAAATACTGTAATAATAATACAGTAAATAATAATAATAATTTATTGAGGCAAAAGAACATACAGTACATATAGGATACAAGAGCACTGTAGGGTTCCAAGATAAGACAAGTACTGTACTGTCTTACCTACAACTAGTAGATGTGTAGTATGTGAGACAATGTTGTATACATGTTTAATATGAGAATGTATACATTTTTTATTTTTCTAGTTTTGCAGGGATATTCATGCATGGGGTCTAAGCCTCTGGCTGGCTCACTAATTGTATAGATGTATAGTGTATGAGCAACCTGTCCTTGGGAAGGAGATCCACTCAAGGGAATGGATTCAGAATGACTACATAATTAGTATGATTATCTACTCTATCCATATTATGATTATCTACTCTATCTACTCTTTAGGTTAAGGTTTGGTTAGATTAGGTTTCATTACATGTGGTTACGTTAAAATGGTGTATTATTGACAATAAAGTGAAATATAGAATTCAAAACTATTTCAGTGTGGCCAAGAATTCCATTTACAGTAAACAAAATTCTTCAAAGAAAACAATTTTCAGCATACACTTTTTATAATTTAAGCCAATTTAAAATGTAATAACTTGAGAATAATCTTTATCATTAATCTTTATTTATCATTTATCAGAATAATCCCAGGCATCACTCGGTACCCCTACTCAAATCTCTGAATATGTTAGACATTAAGTCACTGCACATTCTCTCATGTGTATTATACATATGTAAAACGCTAAACTATAATGCCAATCCTGATCTCAAAAGCTTCATAGAAGGATGTAACAGAACCCATGAGCACCACACCAGAAATAAATACAGTTTTGATATTCCTAGAGTACGACTTAGTCAAACTAGAAATGCTCTACAAATCAAGGGGCCCAGAATGTGGAATGACCTTCCCAACCATGTTAAAGACTGTACCTCTCTCAACCAGTTTAAGTTAAAAACGAAGCTATACCTAATAAATTCCCTGTAACCTACCTTACCCTTCTATTGTCAGCCAATGTTTTTTTTTTTTTTTTTTTTTTTTTTTTTTTTTTTTTTTTTTTTTTAAAGAGCGCTGTTTGTCGACATAATTGTATTTGTGCTGCTTTTTCATCTATGTTTTCATTTCTTGTTTTCATTCTACTCATTATGCTCAATTAGTATTAAGCTTGTCATTTAAGTTTATCATGCCCGAAACGCTTTGCGTAATAGTGGCTTTATGGCTTTAGGCATTGTATGTACTAGCTCTACCTATAAGTCAACCAATCTTTGTAAAAATTTATTGTATGTATGTACCTTACCTAAATAAACATTTTATTTTATTTTATTTTTATTTTATTTTTTTATTTACAATAAAGGTTCATTTGCCAGTTTACATGTAGACTATTACTGGCACCATAATAGGCATTCAGACCATCACAAATACTGTATCTAGATAACTATCCAGCTGGTTTGAGGGGGGGGGGTGGTTTCTCATGGTAATGGATTTGCTGTAAGAACGGGCTCTGTATGAGACAACATTGTATACATGTAAATTGTGTTTTGTTGGGCTTGTTCTCAACTCACAATTGGAAATCCTGGGTTAAAATCCCAGGTGGGACAGAAATGGTTGGGTAAGTTTCCTTTTACCTAATGCCTCCATTCATATAGCAGTAAATAAGTACCTGGGAGTTAGTTAATTGTTGTGGAGTTGCATCCTGGTGAAGGTCAATAGTTCGACCTTGGGGGAGAACCTCGATATAAGACAAGACTAGTGTATGTATGTATGTATGTATGTATGTATGTATGTATGTATGTATGTATGTATGTGTATCTATGTACAGGCTGCTTATCTCTGACAAAAACAAATTATTAAAAATGCATGTGTATTGTGTGAGACAATGTTGTATACACATGAACAATACAATAAAAGTGAGTGACAGGGAGTAAGCACAGCAGTTTGTTACGAATAATGAGTGATAAATTAGTAGTCAGGTTCATTCTCGACTCACAATCAGAAATTCCGGGTTCGAATCCCAGGTGGGAGAGAAATGTTTGGGTTCGTTTCCTATATACTTAATGCCCAAGTTCACCTAGCAGTAAACAGGTACCCAAGAGTTAGTCAGCTCGTTGTGGGGTTACAGCCTGGGAAGGGCCAGTAGTTCGATGTTGGGGGACAGGGGAGACCTCAATAGAAGTCCAACATGTATATACTGTGTGTATGTGTGTGTGTGTGTGTGTGTGTGTGTGTGTGTGTGTGTGTGTGTGTGTGTGTGTGTGTGTGTGTGTGTGTGTGTGTATATATATATATATATATATATATATATATATATATATATATATATATATATATAGGGAAGGGAGTACCACCTCTAGCTCCACCACCTCCACCATACATATATGGAGTAGACAGTCGATGAGAGAGAGAAGGGCCATGAAAACCAGGAGAGTCTTGGCACGAGGACGTGCCGAGGATATATATATATATATATATATATATATATATATATATATATATATATATATATATATATATATATATATATATATATATATTATATATATATAATGGCTACCTGTCCCCCAACAAAATGAAATAATTTAATTAATTGCATGGCATAATTTTTACTTTGTCAATGGAAGTACTGAAACACTGGTGGGTGGTGCTGCAAATTCCCATGAGGGAAAAGGTGGTAAGAGGTTGGGTGTTACTTTCCATATCTTTATCACTCGTTTCACCTAATAATCCTTTATCCTTCATGGTGAGGTACCTCTCCATTCCATGAAAGAGGAATATAAAGCAGTGATGGTAAAAATCCTCATACTGCAGCATTCAGCTGAAAGGCTTAGATATTTCGGAAGAAGTACTCACTGATACTCAAGTTTATTTACAGAAGGCATCTGGAGCTGGTGATCTTCTGTACGAGTCTCCAGCACAAGGTCCATGCCCCTGATGATGTCATGGTCACAGGATATATTCACCTGTGGGTTAAAGATCATACAAATAAGAAATATCTGCTTACTAGATATAATACAGAACACACACAGGTGTTGTCAACATAAAACAAATGATGCATAAGCTGGTTTAATGAGGAGTGTTTGAAAAATTCTTTGACATTATATTTCTTGTCTCCTAATTTTATTTACTTGTTTGATGATGGGTTTAGCATTCCTAAAATAGATAATGTTGCTCCTGATTCCTGTGTGACACAAGCACCGATGGTTTTGTCAACACGATAGGCATACTTATGCTTGTAAATTCTTGCATCTGAGTTTAGGGATGTTTATGTACATTTCAATTGTAAATCTTCCAAACACCATCCTTTGTATTTTCAGCAGACTAATTGTTCTTTAATTTGTACTCTCCTCATAATACCTCTCCCATTGTTCAAGGGCAGCATGTTATTACCATTTGTATATCACTATAATATGTGAGAGTCAGTCAGGCAAGTAATATTTGGTTAATGCAGCAGCTGAATGAGTGAGTCGATTATCATAGCCTCAACCTTCTCTAGGCTGATCTGGCTGATCCGTGAAAAACCACAAATTTGAATGTAACACAAACACAGAACACATAAGGGTCACATAACACCAGCACCTCTCAAAACTATGAGAAACAATACAGTAACTGACCATACATATATGGAGTAGACAGTCGATGAGAGAGAGAAGGGCCATGAAAACCAGGAGAGTCTTGGCATGAGGACGGAAGACAGAGATGGTGGCTCCAGTGGCCAGCCAGCCCACCAGTGTGGCTGCCAGGGCTGCACCAGCTGAGCAATACACACTATAAGTATCTCAACCATAATACATACTACACAATTTAATAGGGGGATACAATGCCATTAAATTGATTTTATTAAATAGCTAGTAGATGAATGAATGCATGATATTCAAGAAACCTATCAATTGACCAAGCATAAATGTTTCAATAATAAATATTCGTCAATATTTATATCATGCTTTACTTACTACCCTGTTGTGAGATATGTGAATGATTATTTATAAAATGTTTTCAGCATACAACTGTTTCTTTAGCAGAATGTATAAAATTGAAGAATAATGAATATTTTATTAAAAAGTTCATAAAGCTCAAGGAGGAAATAACTACGCAAGATCACTGACCCTACATAACAATACATACAAGAACACAAGAACTTAAATTCATTTTTGCAGTAAAACTCCAAACCTTAATAATATGACTGCAACTAGAATGAGTGTTTAAACATTAAGACAAAATAAATAACAAGAATAATGCTGTAGCACTATCTCTAACACTATTAGGGAAACATACCAATATACTGATTGGCCTTTGCTGCCGACATCTTGAATTGGTGCTCCAAGAATTTGGGTTTGAAGGTGATATAACCAAAAAAGGCAAACCAGAAGAACACTTGGTTGAGGGTAATTAGTATGAACACCTTATTGGTCAGCAGCCGCCGTAAACTTCTCCACATACCTGCCGAAGAACACCCGGTTTGTCAATAGCTAAATATTTATCCATCCATAAGAAAATACAGGAGCGGGAAGGGAGTAATCCTCAGAGTAATGCATAGTAGAAACATGAGGACAAACCCAGGGATTATCAATTAACAGCATGAATATTTTTCACAAATGACTGGTTAACAACACAATTGTTGAATTTGATAAAAAAAAAATCATCATATGACATATCTCATTTGCATGAAATTATAAATCTATTTACCATCAACCTATTTACAATGATGTAAATAGGTTTTCAATGATCAGTAGGCTAGCTATCTTATGTCATCTATATAAGCACTCACACAGTGGAGCATTACCTTAGGGAATTCTACCATGTGGAAATATGGTAGCATGGGAAGACCTACTATGGGGAAGGACAACCATAGCAAAGCACTATCAAGGGAATCAATACTATGGAGACACATTACCATGGGAAACACTATTATGGGGAACCACTAACATGGGGAAGCACTGGCATGACAAGTACTACCAAGTACCTTCTCTGCCCCGGGAGTAGGCAGGACGAAGAGTCTTGGTAAATGCATCAAGAGCCTCTTTGCCCCTGGTGGCCACCATACGCAGCTCACCAAGCTTCCTGCTTCTGGCCCCAGGTAACATCCGCGGGAGGAGCACCAGGGAGCTCGAGATCACCAGCAGGGACGAGCCGATCAACAGGTACCCTCAAGAAGGAAATGACAAAGTCTTTGCTTTATTTTGTAAGTGTATGCCTTATTCAAAAGTAAAACCAAAAGGTACCTAATTTCACCCTCATAGTTTCCTACCTTGTGCTTCAAACTCCCACTGTATCTTGTACCCACTTCCCTAATGTTAGTCCTATACCTAAGACATATCTTTAAAGGTGTAATCACCACTGTCAATTTATATTGTAGTTGTTGATATAAAACCTTGCTACAATGTACCTTTTCATCTTACCTGATATGTTAGATTAATACTGAAGCCAGTCCAGGTTTTACATATGACCCACAAGCACTCGGGCGGAAGGGCTGACTTAATTACTCTACACCTATGGTGTAAAGTGTTGAGCCACTCTGCCCTTTTACTTGAGTACGTGTGGGTTATACGTAAAACCTGGACTGGCTCCAGTAGAGTTCTCCAGACTTCCTGTGATCTTAGTAGAAAACTGGTTGTATGACTTGAAAAGTCAGTAGTGGTTTAGTGGTAAACTATGCGGCTTGGCAATGCCTTGGTAGTAGGTTCGCGCCCACGTCATTGTCCATAGTGGATTTTCTCATTGATATATATCACAATATGGTGATTTTTCTGTGATTATTATTATCATCATTAATCAAATTCAAATAAGAACATAAAACAATGCTCTGTTCACAAACAGGCCATCATACTTGGGTGTCAATGATCTATTCCTTGACTTACCTATCCACCAGGCTCCAGTCCACCTGGGATGGCGTGGGTTTAGAGCAGGGGTGTGAGAGGGGGACACCCAGTAAGAGAGGGCCCATGATGCTAGGGAGTACCCACACACAGGGCCCAGGATCCTCACACTCCCAGACACAGCTGTAAAAGTGTAACGCAAGACAGTTACTGTCATCTTTGGACATGGCTCAGACTATTGTTTAATAAAAAGAAAATGGTGAGTGGGAGAAGGGTGTAAGTGGGATAAAGGTGACAGTGGGAGGATTGTGTTGGTGTTGAAGGAATATGTGGGATGGAGCCCCATCCCACAGGTGAGGGTGAGGAGCGACTCAATATGTTAACAGTTTTAGCCTTAACTAACAATTTGAGAGAGAGAGATATATACAAGAGTTGTTACATTCTTGTACAGCCACTAGTACGCGTAGCGTTTCGGGCAAGTCCTTAATCCTATGGTCCCTGGAATACGATCCCCTGCCGCGAAGAATCGTTTTTTCATCCAAGTACACATTTTACTGTTGCGTTAAACAGAGGCTACAGTTAAGGAATTGCGCCCAGTAAATCCTCCCCGGCCAGGATACGAACCCATGACATAGCGCTCGCGGAACGCCAGGCGAGTGTCTTACCACTACACCACGGAGACTGCTGAACACTAAACTCATGTAACTGAATACAAAAGTACTAAAATATTGATAAAATGAGCAATTGTTATCCCTTTTAGGCTAGATGCACCTGACTGATAGTTTGTCCTGATAGTGAAATTCCTTACTGAATATAATCAATTTCATCAAGTAAAAAAATCATTGAGCGAATCAGTATTTACCAATGGAGACCTTAAAAATGAAATACAGGAACGTTTCCAAATAATGTAACAAGTTGAAGTAAGAGATACAATTGCAGTGTTAACATTATTATTATTATTATTATTATTATTATTATTATTATTATTATTATTATTATTATTATTATGCCAGAGTGATGAGTGGTTGACATAGCCATATAACTCACACAGGAAGATGGGAACCTTCTTCTTGCTGACAGCTTCATCGAGATAGGTGTAGCCAACAGTGTAGTACATGAGTGAGGCAAATCCTGCCATCATCTGTCAAACAGTATCACACATTATAACATAAGCATAGTTTGCAAATATTAGCTAACCTTAAGGATATGCATTACATATGAGAGTTGATTTGCGGCGGGGGCTGGCAGTGTCAAGGACAGTCACAAGTTCTCTGGAAACTGACTGACGCTGTGTACAACAACAGTAGCTTGCTGTGGGAACAGCTCTGCATACGACAACTTATGGTAGGAATGTAAGGGCCGTTACCAAAGACAGAAGTGGAGAGTGACCACAGTGTACCTGAGTCACAGGGTGGAGGGTGACCACAGTGTACATGAGTCACAGGGTGGAGGGTGACCACAGTGTACCAAAGTCACAAGGTGGAGGGTGACCACAGTGTAACAGAGACAAAGTGGAGGGTGACCACAGTGTACCAGAGACATAAGGTGGAGGGTGACCACAGTGTACCAGACACAAGGTGGAGGGGTGACCACAGTGTACCTGAGACACAAGGTGTAGGGTGACTACAGTGTACCTGAGACACAAGGTGGAGGGGTGACCACAGTGTACCTGAGACACAAGGTGGAGGCGTGACCACAGTGTACCTGAGACACATGGTGTAGGGTGACTACAGTGTACCTGAGACACAAGGTGGAGGGGTGACCACAGTGTACCTGAGACACATGGTGTAGGGTGACTACAGTGTACCTGAGACACAAGGTGGAGGGTGACCACAGTGTACCTGAGACACATGGTGTAGGGTGACTACAGTGTACCTGAGACACAAGGTGGAGGGTGACCACAGTGTACCTGAGACACATGGTGTAGGGTGACCACAGTGTTCCTGAGACACAAGGTGTAGGGTGACTACAGTGTACCTGAGACACATGGTGTAGAGTGACTACAGTGTTCCTGAGACACAAGGTGGAGGGTGACCACAGTGTACCTGAGACACATGGTGTAGGGTGACTACAGTGTACCTGAGACACAAGGTGGAGGGTGACCACAGTGTACCTGAGTCACAAAGTGGAGGGTGACCACAGTGTACCTGAGACACAAGGTGGAGGGGTGACTACAGTGTTCCTGAGACACAAGGTGGAGGGTGACCACAGTGTACCTGAGACACATGGTGTAGGGTGATTACAGTGTACCTGAGACACAAGGTGGAGGGGTGACCACAGTGTACCTGAGACACAAGGTGGAGGGTGACCACAGTGTACCTGAGAGACAAGGTGGAGGGTGACCACAGTGTACCTGAGACACAAGGTGGAGGGGTGACCACAGTGTACCTGAGTCACAAGGTGGAGGGTGACCACAGTGTACCTGAGACACAAGGTGGAGGGGTGACCACAGTGTACCTGAGTCACAAGGTGGAGGGTGACTACAGTGTACCTGAGTCACAAGGTGGAGGGTGACCACAGTGTACCTGAGACACAAGGTGGAGGGGTGACCACAGTGTACCTGAGTCACAAGGTGGAGGGTGACCACAGTGTACCTGAGACACAAGGTGGAGGGGTGACCACAGTGTACCTGAGTCACAAGGTGGAGGGTGACCACAGTGTACCTGAGACACAAGGTGGAGGGGTGACCACAGTGCACCTGAGTCACAAGGTGGAGGGTGACCACAGTGTACTTGAGCCAGAAAGTGGAGGGTGACCACAGTGTACCAGAGACACAAGGTGGAGGGTGACCACAGTGTACCTGAGCCAGGAGGTGGAGGGTGACCACAGTGTACCTGAGCCAGGAGGTGGAGGGTGACCACAGTGTACTGCTCTGCACTAATGGCTGCAGTGTTCGAGTCACACGAAGAGTTTAAACTTGCAGACCCTCGGCACATCTCTCCTGCAAGAACGACACACTAATTGTGAAAAAAGTCACATGTCAAGAGATCGTCACATGTTAACATGTGAGCCATAAGATGTCGTCTTTTGCTTAGTGTTAGTCAGAGTGACGTTATCATGGTCAGAGATAACCTTGTTAAGGTCAGAGGTGACTTTATCAAGCTAAGGAAGACCATATCAATAATTATTTGATGAAAGGTAAAAGACGTCTTCATGAAGATGACCTGCTCCTAAGATTCTCACGTTGATATGTCACTTTACTGTAAATTCATTGTGTATCAAAATCAAAGATTATCATAAGAGTAAAGTATGCCAGACACAAAATATGAAATTATGACTATTTGAGAGCGAGATATAAACTTTAATCATATGCATTTTAATTATAATTTATGACCTCTGGTAGAGCTGCGTGAGGTCCCTCCAAGAACTCACTTGAAGGATGGTTGGTAGAGTTGGAGTCGTGTACAAGGACCAGGTCTCCAGCACCGAAGATTATGTGTGGAGTGGCGGCGAGGAAGCAGCCCACTGCAGCACACAGCATGCTGAGGGCCAGCCAGCGGGGACGGTGGCCCTGACCTGCCAGGAAGCTCATGTGTACTGCCAACACCAGCTGGATAACGTCGTTCCCAGTCGTCACCAGGCCTACACCACAAGAACAATTGCACCTTATTTACATGAGTAACATCCTGCCACATTCTATCACTCGTATGTATTATATGTATTGACTTTTTAAGACAGTAACGGCAACTATTTCTCTTCATATATTGTTCCTCACCTGAAATCTTACTGGGGAGCCGGAATCGCTTCTCGACGGTGGAGAGGGTGGCGTTGGCGTAGGTGTAGAACATGCCCTGGACCAGAGCGACCACGCTGGAGATGACTAGGTAGGTAGCAGGACTGGCCAGCTTCTGAAGAGCCTCTCCCCGCACCAGCCCTGCCCCACACCTGCAGGAGGGACTAGTTTAAACACAGGAGAGCAACACAACCTCCGTAGCGCCCCTCCCCGCAACCACCCACTCCTTACTGTCTTACACCCCATTGTAGCCTACTTTACATCCTCTGTTATCTGGCCTTATAATTCTTCTACCGTCAATACTGTACAACTCACATTGTGTCCTCATCTGGACCCAAGATGTCCTCCACCATCTGAACTGTGAGCACCTCCTCCTGCGCCTCCACCAGTTGAACGTCTTCATCCAGCTGGGGTAACCTGACATCACAGATGGTGCTGATGGCTGGTGCGCCACCGCTGGTGGATGCAGTCAGGCGATCATGTAATTCCGTGGCACTGGGCTTTCCAATTTCCTTTTCACCGTGCGCCATCTGTCGTGGTTATACCGATGACTAATTATGATGATAATACAAGTTATACAATTTGCGGTGATGAGATTAGTGTGAATGATTATTGAGATGATTTTTCATTAACACAGTAATTAGCAAGAATTCGTCTTGGATACAAATATCCATGAAGATTCGGTATGGCAACAACAGTTCAAATCAAACCAAATCAAATCAAATGTTTATTCAGGTAAAAGTACATACATACAAGATGAGTTACAAACATAATGTTGGATTTCTAGATAGAGCTACAATGCCTAAAGCCACTAAAACTCACAGCATTTCGTGCAACCCCTGAAACTGCCTTGAGAGAATGTGAACATCTAAGAGTCATTAGAAATATGTGTAGAATAATAAGCCCCACATTGTTTGAGTTAGGAAAATACTATTTGTCAAATATTGACACTGTTCTTAAAAGATTCCCACATTTTGCATCCTTGTGATAACGTGAGATTTTAGGGGTTGACCACAGAGTTAATCTTCTTGTTTGATAAGCTGTTCACTTGAGACAGTTAAGCAAGTCCCAGCTATGTCTGGGTACAAGTGACAGGGTGAACAACCAAGTGGGGTTTCTTCCTACTGGGGGGTGTTTTACATGCTGCTATGGCGGTGTGTCCACTCACAGGATGAGTGGCGCTGCCCAATAAACTCGCCTCTCGGGGCAAAATTATATTAAAATTAAGCACAGGTATACACAGCAACGTGTTGCTACCCTCTTCTATATGAAGGATTACAGAGTGAAGAAAAAAAGCTAGCTGAGTTCATCTAATATCCCCACCTCACAGGATGGTTAGTAATACATGGAATCAGAAGAGGACATGAAATGCGAGTTAGGCTATTAGTCTGCACTAGCAAATTCTGGAGAGAGATATCCAAACATTGAGTGCAGTGGTTGTGCCATTTACATGTACCAAACCTTGCTCCTAAATGCAAATCCTGATCTGAAACTCTTCCTTGACAGATGTAATAGAACCCATAATCACCACACCAGAAATAAATATCTCTTTGATATCCCCAGTCAAACTAAATCTGTGCAAACACTCTATGCACTTAAAGGGGCCTAGTCTATGGAACTCACTCCCTATTGAATTCAAAAGCTGTCCAACCTATACATTATTCAAAAATAAAACCAAAATGTATCTGATTTCATCCTCATAGTTTCCTACCTAATGCTTCAAACTCGCACTGTAACTTATGCTACCCACTCCTCCAATATATGTGCCTAAGCCATGCAACTTAACCATAATAATCAATGTTTTCAATTTATAATGTATTGAACGCAAATTCTACTACTGTACAATGTACCTATTGACAATCCTCAAATTATGCTACAACATACCTGTTGATAATCATCAAATTTTGCTACAATGTACCTATTAATTTTCTTCAAAATTTCTTACAATGTACCTGTTAATATTCTTCAAATATTGCTACAAATTACCTACTTATTAGATTAAGGACCTGCCCGAAACGCTATGCGTGTTAGGGGCTTTGCAAGAAAATTAAACATCAATGCTCCCATAAACCCTATGTACCTTCTTGCATATAAAATATAACCATAAGCCCAATGTACCTTCTTGTATATAAAATAAAATAAATAAATGTAAATAATTAGATCTTACAGCTATGTGCTACACTGACCCAGTGATGTCACTGAGATAATGTTTATATTTTATGTACACGTTTGGACGTGCTTTTTCTTTTTTAAGTGAGTTAAAAATAAAATTACTTAAAAATAGTAAGTACTTACTTTTATTAAGTAAAAACTCACTTTAAAAAATTGGGTTTTTTCTTGTTTATGAATTTTTAAGTTTTTATTTTGTCGTGTTGATTTAGAGGCGACGACGATCGTGGGATCGGATGCGCCCCGGCTGCCCGATACCGGGAAATAGCGGAGGGATAGGGTCCCTATAGTCTCTTCAGGCCATAGACCCTACAATCTCCTCAGGCCACATATTTTACAGTCTCTTCAGGCCACGGACATGACGGATGAAGCGGAAGGTTATGGCGAAGGATGTCATGACGGACGTCTTCATCTCTCGCACCTGCCCCGTCAAGGAGAACAGGAACTGTGAGGCGGGGAATATTCAGCTTACGAAGGGCACTCTGTAGTCTGACGCGAGCGCTATGAAATCGAGGGCAGTGAAGAAGGTGTTCCACTGTATCCTCCTAGGTCGAACATCACTGGCAGTATGGGGAATCTACCAGCCGTAGACGATGGAGATGTGCGGCCAGGCAGGTGTGCCCAATCTGGAGACGAGTGATGGCAGTGTCAAGGAGTCGAGAATGATGACGAGTCCATGGACGCGGGGAGGAGCCCTCCTGGAGAGCCGCCAGAGAGGAGAACCTGAGTGCTGGCTCCATCATTGCCTCCCAACTTGCGAGGCAAACCGCCCGGAGTTGCGGGAGAATTTCGGAAAGGTCTAGAGGCACATTTGTAGTCATGGAGAGCATGCGCCATCCCTTCTGCTGCGTCGGCCACCTCATTGCGATTAATACCGACATGTGACGGAACCCATTGGAGATAGACCAACCCGGAGTACCAGAGTATGACAGCAGTTCTCCACGGATCTGTGACACAGTATGACGATGGACTCGTGGACGCCGAGATGATATCAGATGTAGGGCTGTAACTGAGTCCACGTAGAAAACGACTGCAGAGGGCCCTGAAACTTGTCGACGGAGTCGTAAGGCTAGTAAGATTGCAAACAGTTCCCCGGCCAGGCACGAATGAGGAGAGTTTCCACGTCTGACAGAAGGAAAAAGGAGCAAAGTATGCTGCTGCAGATGTGGATGGTTTTCATTACTTGTTTGAGTACGTCGTGTTATTGTTGTTGATTTAGGGGCGACGACGATTGTAGCATAGGATGCGCCCCGTCATACCCGTATAGGGTTAATAGCAAATTCCTAATGGCAAAACGAAGATGCGTATGACCAGACACTAAGATGCCTCGCGTCAAAGAAACGCAGTCAGGCAGATGATTGGGGAGCCCCAGGAGTCCCTCAGGGTGACAAGCACCAGCCCCGCTCCACATGGAATTACCTGTGTGGAATTATCTGCACCAGCCTCCATTTATGGAATGCATTAGGAAGTGATGTGGTGGAGGCAGACTCCATACACAGCTTCAAGTGTAGATATGATAGACCCCCAATAGGTTCAGGAACCTGTACAACAGTTGAGAGGTGGAACCAAAGCACCAGAGCTCAACCCCTGCAAGC